GGAGACAAAGACGGAGACCCACATTGGAGCACCGGACTGAAATCTCAAGGTCCAAATCAGGAGCAGAAGGAGAGGGAGCACGAGCAAGGAACTCAGGACCGTGAGGGGTGCACCCACACACTGAGACAATGGGGATGTTCTATCGGGAACTCACCAAGGCCAGCTGGCCTGGGTCTGAAAAAGCATGGGATAAATCTGGACCAGCTGAACATAGCGGACAATGAGGAATACTGAGAACTCAAGAACAATGGCAGTGGGTTTTTGTTCCTACTGCACATACTGGCTTTGGGGGAGCCTAGGCAGTTTGGATGCTCACCTTACTAGACCTGGATAGAGGTGGGCGGTCCTTGGACTTCCCACAGGTCAGGGAACCCTGATTGCTCTTGGAGCAGATGAGGGAGGGGGACTTGATCGGGGGAGGAGGAGGGAAATGGGAGGCAGTGGCGGGGAGGAGGCAGAAATCCTTAATAAATAAATAAATTAAAAAAAATTTAAAAAAGCATCATAAAAAAACTAAAAAAAAGAAGTGACAAAAGTATGAATCCTTACAGATAACTTCTCATTACGAGTCAATAAAGACTGTATCATTTCTAAAAGTCTCTCATTCTTGACTCTGTTATGAAACCATTTCTTTAGCGATATCATATGAAAAAAAATAATAGCCACCATGGCCACAAAAATATATGTACCAGGTAGGTCATACAGCTTAGTTCTTGCATCAATCCATTCATAGCAGAAACAAAAAATATTATTATATTCCTGGGTAGTGATATTGTCTACAATTATCTTGGGATTGGTTTACAATCTTCAAATTTATTTGTTTATTTATTTATTTACCAATCAATCTGATACTTAGGTATCAAGTTAACTTACCTCCCTTATAATTTTGAGAAAATTGTAGGTGTAATACTGTGGATTTTTCAGCAGGTGTCAGAGTTGTGGCAGTAAGGCAGATCAGGGCCTGAATCACCTGAGACTCAGCAAAAAATTTTAAAAGTAGCGCACCTTCACAGGGAGAAATTTGAGCTTCACAGGCAGAAGCTCAAAGGACTCAGAGCTTGCAGGCAATTGCGAGCTGTGAAGTTGCTGGTGGATTTTGGGTCAGTGGTTCTCATGGTTCCAATCTGGGAATGCAAGCCAGTTTTCTAGGTGCAGGCATAGAGCTCAGGCTGATCAGAGCAGGCCAGACAGCAGCTGGACCTGAGAAGCAAACCCTAGCTTGGGTAGCAGCAGTGAGCCACATGGGTCAGAGAAGCCACAGAGGAGTTGCCGCAGGAATCTGCAGGCATCAGTTACTCAGCCACTTAGCTGGCAGGACTGAGCCACACAGGGGTAGGAGGGCTAGAAATTACCAAGTCCCTACTGAGGATCAGCCAACCCAAACCTTGCTCAGCTTTCAGGCAGTTAAAGTACATGAGACCACGCCCAGAGTGGGCCAGTATCCTAAAGGCTATTGTCTGGGGGAGTTCCCGCAACACAGGGACTGCTGGGACCAACAATTCTGAGAGCTGGGATTCTGACACACAAGGCGGCAGTCACTATGCAGTTCAGAGGTTGGGGACAGAGCAGCTTGTTAGCTAGAAGAATCTAATCATGTATAAAAGAAATATCTTTGAATGTAACTAATTCATGGGAAAACCCAGAGCATTTTAGTTGCTGAAACAAAATACCAAAGTGGGTGGAGGAAAAGCCATGCACAGTTCTACAATAAAGTGAAATGTGTCCTTGCAGATCTGAGAACTCACAATGGAACAATGTGTATTTTAGCCAACCTGAGCTTCGGGTGACCTGTGGTTAACTCTAAGGGGACTCTGTATAAAGAGAAATTTGCGCAAGGTGAGTTTCAGATCTTCTGTGCTCTTTATTTGGACAATGGCACTGTGTAGGGAGTGGGCATCTGTTTTGGAGGTGTCTTGTCCCAGAACCAGTTCTTAGGATTCAGGATATTGGCAAGGTCACACCCCTTACTGAAGCGAGGGTTTGGGGCCAAGTTACTGTTGAGGAGAGGGCACGAGAGGCCAAGTCCACAGCTCTTGACATTGCTCTCCTAGTTGGGACACACAGGGTGCAATCTACCACCCCAGCAATGAAAGTGTGAAAGACTTTCTTCCAAGGAGCTGCCCAAGCCCAGGGCCAGGGTTATGAGTTATGCAGGTACCTAACTGCATAGCGCACCCCAAATGCAGATACCCACAAGTACAGCAGGTCTCAAGTGTGACGTGAACTGTTTGTAAATGGTTGGGGAATGGAGATTCATTCTGTGATTCTGCAAGTGACAGAAGCGCTCTACAAAGCCTCATTTGCAGACTCCACCCAAAGTTCCACTGTGCCAGGCAGCATTTCCCAGGAGAGTCGTAGGCTGCTGTGTTCATTCTTTTCTGCACCAAACCCAAAAGGAGCAGGAATGGGGACAGTTTTCATATTTTTCTTTTTTTCTCCTTCTTGTAGGACTGAGATTAAACTCAGGGTCTTGTGCATGTGAGACAAATGCTCTGTCACAGAGTTGTATCCAAATCAGTTTTCTGTTTAAATATCAAACATCTGTAGCTTATCAGGCTACCTCCCTTGACTATGGTGCAAATGGCCAATAAGAAACCTGTTTAGCATCTCAGACAAGAGTAAGCCCTAAACACCAGGATGGGAAGTATATGTGTCTGAAAAAGTCAGTATCAACCTTTGTGGGTCCATTAGCTGTAACCTCTGTCAAACTTTAAGCTAAGTAAGAAAACACAGAGGATTTGGATTGGAATTTGGGTACACTCTAACCTAGCTCTCTTGGTGTATTAGTGATGGAGGAGGGTCATCTTTCTATCTGTTGCTTTCATTGGTTAATTAATAAAGAAAACTGCCTAGGCCCATTTGATAGGCCAACCCTTAGGTGGGTGGAGTAAACAGAACAGAATGCTGGGAGAAAAAAGCCCAGTCAGCCAGTCCCCATGATTCTCTCACTCCAGACAGACATAGGTTAAGATCTTTCCTGGTAAGCCAGCTCGTGGTGCTACACAGCATATTAGAAATGGGTTAATCAAAGATGTGAGAATTAGCCAATAAGAGGCTAAAACTAATGGGCCAGGCAGTGTTTAAAAGAATACAATTTCTGTGTAATTATTTCAGGGCATAAGCTAGCCATGCGGGCGGCTGGGTCCAGGGGATGCAACCCCGCCGCATGTATTGCAACGTATTAGTCCAGTGTTCTTTGCTATACTGAAATATTCAGTCAGGCTGCTCTATTTAACTGACAGATTGAGAGGATAAAGGCCAAGGTCAGGCAGCCTCATATATGGGCCTTTGGAGAGACTGTTGGCAGGTGGCATTATGGCAGGTGTATGACATGGAGGGGAAGAGATCACACCGTAAGACAGCAAGCCAGACAGTGATTGGGGTCCCATGAGAACTATCTTAATCCCTCCCAAAGGCAGCACCCTCCATGATCTAGTGCCACCTCACATACCACATTGTCAAGGACCAGGTTGTCAATAACAACCCCTGGGGGGAGCTTTCAAACCATAGCTCAACCACAAGTCAGTTTCTCTGTCATCTGCCTCAGGCTCCCTAATACGAAGCCTCCTCTATTTTGAAATGAGAATAAAACTTCTCTCACCACATTCCTGTGATAAAAAGATAATAGACATAAAATAGTGTGGAAATTGTAGTTGTTAGAGTACAGTGCCACTGGTCCTCTATCATGTTTGTTCTTCCTTTACATAGTACAGTTCTTTATGATTTATTTTTATTTTCTGACTATGTGTGTTTGGCAGCATATGTGTCTGTGCATTGAGTGTGTCTGATGTCCATGGAAATGAGGAGTGGACATTAGATCCGGACTAGTGGATGTGAGCTCCCATGTGGATTCTGAGAACTGAACCTGGGTCTTCTGCAAGAGCAGCAGTGCCCTTCACCACTGAACCATTTCCCTAGCACCATGGTAGTTCTTTTCTTAGCAAGATGTAAGGGTTTTCACTGTGATTCAACTGCCTACATGCAATTTAGCTGTTCCATGTTGACTATATTTCCTAAATGACTTTTAACATCAACTAGTCATGATTCTAAAATATGAGGAATAACAAACTGTCGTGTCCTGGAGTATAATGTTATAGAAGTAGCTGTAGTGACAGCTTCCTCATGGCTGGATTCACGAGAGTCCAGCAGGGAAATTTCTGCCCTCACTCACCTTTCTGAAATGCAAGTTGGACCTACACGGGTCACAGTAAAAGAAAGAGTTAAGAATCCTGGTCACGTATTAGAGCCATTCCTTTTGACAATCTTTTAACATTACAGTAGAATGCTTTTAAAGGTAATGTCAAAGCTGGAGAGAGCACTTTGTGGTTAAGCACACTGACTGTTCTTCCAGAGGACATCAGGTTCAATTCCCAGCAACTACACTTGGCTCACAACCATCTATTACTATAGTTCCAGAAGATTCAATGCCATTTTCTGACTTCTGTGGGCAATAAGAAAAGATGGTGTAGGGCTGGAGAGATGGCTCAGTGGTTAAGAGCATTGCCTGCTCTTCCAAAGGTCCTGAGTTCAATTCCCAGCAACCACATGGTGGCTCACAACCATCTGTAAAGAGGTCTGGCGCCCTCTTCTGGCCTTCAGAATATTGTATACATAATAAATAAATAAATATTTTTAAAAAAAAAAGAAAAGAAAAGATGGTGTACCCAGACACGCTGACAGACAAAACAACAATACACATAAAATAGACGAATTCTTTTTAGGAAAAACATAAAGGATAACATCAGTGGTAGTCATTCTCTGTCCTTGCCTATCAGGATGGGTGTGTGGCTTCTGATGACTGAGAAGGAAATGCACATCCTCCTGAGCCTAACCCTCAGCCCCAGATCCAGGATATTATGGGTCAAGAGCATGTATTTTCATAGCTGACTCTTCAGTTGGTCTTGGTCTTACTGACACCCATATGAGAAGTATAAAGACCGACAATGAAGAGTGGCTGACTATGAGAGAATTTGAAATTAAAGGGGGATATGAAAAATATGAAAAATGGAAAAGAAGTATTCATTGCAATGGACGCCGTCTTCAAGATTGGATAAAGGCATGCTGGTGGTAGATAGCTCCGTGTTTCCTGGGTAAGATGGTGAATTAAATGGATACCTGCATTACAAGATTGCCCCACAGTTCCTCTCCCAGGTCATTGTGTCACACTTGTTCTTCAACAGCTGAGTATCATGGGTCAGACCTGTAATCCCAGCACTTGGGGATGCTGAGACAGGAGATTGCTCAGAGATCAAGGATGGCTTATACTCTGTAGTGAGTTCCAGGAGAGGTTACAGAGTGAGGCCTGCCTCAACTCCACCTACACAAAAATAAAAGTAAAAGAAGAGAAATCATTTTGAAATAAGTTCTTAGTTCTTCACTTTTATCGACCTTGTAAACTGGGAATACCAGGAGGTTTCCTTGGTAGCTGAATCTATTTCTTATGATGTAGGGTACACAGATCTTTCTGGACTGTGTCTCAGATGGCCTATCCCTGTGTCATCCTCACAATAAAGGACAAAAGTTTTCTCATTGAGTATTGGCTGAGCTGCATCTAAAGCATGGGGAGTACAGGTGTGAGCCCCTGGCCAGGGCAAGGCTGCACCTTCATACCCTACCTGCAGTTACTACTGTGGAGGAGAGGAATCTGTAGGAAATGATGCTGCAGCTAAGGGGTGGGATGGCTATTTCTGGCCTTAGGACTAAAAACCATGTCATGGAACAGTCTTCCCTGAGCTGGGTCATGGAGGACAGTTCTGACAATGTGTACAATGCAGCTATCTACACAGGGAAAGAAGAGTATGAGAAACAAGCCCTCAGTGTGTCTGAAAGCTGTGGGTGATCAAGTGGCTTCCCTTGTTTGATGAGCTCATGTGAAAATCACCAGGACAGGAAAAGGGGATCTAAATGTTTCCTTGACTCATTGTGGGGCACATGGGGAGTAGTTTCGATGAAGACAGCTTGTATTTAACAAGGGTACATACAAACAAAAATTTTGAGAAGGTGGTTAGAAATACCTCACTCACAAACTAAAACCAAAGACTCCCATCATTAACTCTCTGTCTTTCAGGAAGGACATCTACCAAGCAGACCCACCTAGGATAAGGGGACAGGTAATTATTCTGTTCTGATGTCTCAGACTATTGTCTATAAATTGTTTGTTTTCCATCTCTGTGCCTTTATAAGTTTGAAAATTGACAAATTTGTGTTTGATCAAATTTGATTTATTCTGTGGTGCTTATATAGTTGTGATTTCCCAAGCATAAAAGGCCAGGGCTGCTTTGAGCATCAAAATACTTGAGATACAGGTGGGAACAAACATTGGGAGCCATCAAATAAATGATCTCTTCTGCTTTCAGAGGGAAAACCCAACAAGCCCAGAGTGAACAAAGAAAAACATAACTGCCCTGTGACCTTCTGCCATGATGTCTGAGGCCCTCATCTGAAAATTGTTAGTTGTTCATCTCTGGCATGTTACTTTTAAAATTCAGTGATAATAAAAATGGATTTTATCATATGGCAACAACCCATGTAATGGAACCTGTCTAAGAAGAAACATATGGTATCGTGTATGGAGATAAATTCTGCTAACATCTGGGACAAGTGAATTATGACAGTGAAATCCTTGATTGAAGCTACCAGTCATACCAACAAGGCTTCTAACCTATTGTCTCACCCCAGAATAACTGAAGCTGCCTGTCACATAGGAGCTTTTAATTCACCATTTTACCCAATAAACATGGAAGCCATCTACCACCAGAATACTTTTATCAGATCTTGAAGATGGCATCTATTGCAATGAATACTTCTTTTCTATTTCCCTGATTTTTCATATCCCCCTTTAATTTCAAATTCTCTCACAGTTAGCCACTTTTCATTGTCGGACTTTATACTTTTCATATGGGTGTCAGTAAGAGCCCTGGCCCTGGCCCTGGGCGGGCTCTTCTCGGATGGACGCGTGGCGGGCGCGCGCGCGCTCGCTCGCTCCGGCGGTGGCGGCGGCCGCCGGTGGTACCCGAGATCCACCGGTCGGCCGATGCCCGTCTCCCGACGGCGGGCTCCTCCGTTCTTTCTTCCGCTCCTCTGGGGAAGCTCCTCGGCTCCGCGGCGGCGCCGTCCGTTCGCCCGCCGGCCCCGTTCCGTTCTCGGTCGCGCCCCTCATCCGGGCCTTGGCCAAGCCGCGGGTGGGTACGGCGCGGGGGAGGCTTGACCTTGACAGTGACCTGGAGGGACGCTGTGGGGTACTAGAAACCAGCAGGTTCAAAACAGTGTTTGCAGGAGGGAAGAGCACACTCAGAATTGTCAGGAGTTCCATGCAAGATTTTTGTTTTGCTTTTTCATAGTTTTCAGCCCTTACTCCACAGAGAATTCTTCTGTACTGTGAAAGTGGATAACATTTCTCAGGAGTAGAGTGAAGTCTCCTTTCCTTCCGTGTCTACTTTATCAGCCATCTAAGCTGATGAACCCCTACTTTTCCTTTCCATCCAGGAGAGATGCTAGAGTACCTGTGGAATGGACATTTTAAGATGTAAGTAGGCTCAGGATAGCCAGGAGTTGATGCATATTTGAGAATTGAGCTGAGAATGCGTTGGACTTTTCATTCAGAATGTTTGCCAAGATGTAAGAATGCCAAGATCTCAGGATTCTTCCAGAAAACCATGATATATGAAGATGTTTCAAGCTTTAAGACTAATAAAACATAGTAGTGATGTTTTGTTTGTATTTTAATAAATAAAGTTTGCCTGAAGTTCAGGGAGTCACACTGATTAGCTTTGCAGACCAGGCAGTGGTGACACACACCTTTAATCCCAGGAGCCACACTTGTTTGCCATAGAACGGGGCAGTAGTGGTACATGCCTTTAATCCCAGCCCTAGAGAGGAATATAAGACAGGAGGAGACAGCTCTTATATAGTCTCATTCTTAGATGCCTGGAGGCAGGATCACCATTGCGGACTGAGACAGAGGTAAGAGCCAGTGATTAGCTGTTTTGTTTTTCTGACTTTCAGGTTGAACCCCAATTTCTGTCTCTGGGTTTTATTAATCATGCTACATAACATTTTATCAAATTAATTCACACTATTAAATAAATATACTTTCAGTTTTTCTTTTTCTTCATATTTAGTTACTTATTGGTGACTTAAAAATGATGCATATACTACAAAAATCAAAATGGTCAGGTGTTTGTCATATCTTTTACATTCCTGGCACTTAGGAGGCTGAGAGAGGAGCATGGAGAATTTAAGGCTACTCACGGGTGCTGAGTGACAGCTTGCTCCAAAAGATAAAAAATTATGAAGAAAGTGGGTACATGTTGCCCTTGGCTATATCTTGGGTACTCATTGTATGTTAAGAGAGAAAATTCACATTTTGCAAGAAAGATCATAGTGTGCTAGTTTCTGAGAATTTAAAAACTTTCTTACTTGTATTAAAAATGATGTCACATGAATGTGCCACGACAGCCCCCCCCCGCCAAAAAAAAGGAAAGAGAACAAAAAAGGAAGAAATAAAGAAAATGAATTCCAAGGCAATGCTATTTAATTTTCTGCAGATGTCACCACTGTTGTGATACTACAGGGATGGGCAAGTCCCATTCTTTCCCTTGTTTCAATGATTTTGTTTCAGTCAACCACACTAAACACACTAGATGATTCCAAGTTTTTTTTTGCAATTAAATCATTCTGATAACTATTTTAGAATAGTAATAATTCACTCATCAATAACCATAAGAAAAATAATATAAAATATGACTGAAGAAATTTTAGAAGGATTTTAAAAGTCAGTTAAGAAAGTTCAGTTAAGAAAGATTTTATAAGGTCAAATGTGATTATCTCATTTTCTTTTTGTGCTGAGAAATGCTCTGAGAATAGAGCAGATGAACAGTGAATATTTGTGTATGGATTCAGAAGTGTGGTTGCAGTTTAGAATTTCCTTCCAAACAGAGCCTACACGGTGGTGAGGAAATGGAAAAGGTTTATTGGAATAAGGGTAATAACTGGGGAAAAAGATTTCTAATCAGTTTTTTAAACTTCAGAACAAAAAATTAGATTATTTTTTAAGAATCTCTGAAGGACTTTTAGTATAAAGCAAAAGAAAACTTGAAAATTTTCTCTTCAGCTGGGCCAGACATTGTTGTGTGAAGAGAACAGGTGGACGAGAGTAAACACTTGGCATGTATGAATTACTATTTCACAAGATCACTGTTTTTATAGTTTTTCAAAGCCTCACATCAAGCATTCTGACCTGAAAACTTCAGGTTTCACACCTGAGCTCCACTAGTCTCTCAGTAGATCTCCCTGGTGTTTACCTGCGAGTGGGATATGGAGCTTCCTTCTAGCCATGACAGGACCACACTTGGTAATTGCTCTAGGAGGCAAAATACCAGTGAAAATGGGGAGTTTTCCACTGTAGACATACCCTTGAAGAACATATTTCTTTTCTATTTCTGTGTGTTGAGAACTGAGAAAGGAGAAAGCTGAGGCAAGCAGAAAGCTGCTCCATCTATGTGTCACCAATGGTAACGTATAGTGGTAGAATACTTGTGTTTTAATAAATAAAGCTTGCCTAAAGATCAGAGGACAAAGCAGCCACACTAATCAGCCACAGTGGTGGCACACACCTTCAATCCCAGCACCCATACTAGTTAGCCATAGAGGTCCTAGGGTCCTAGGGTCCTAGGAGAAAAATAATACAAGCTACATGAAAAGTCAAAAGAAATGGACAGAAGTTTTTACAAAAGGTTTAAATGATTAAAAATATTATTGCAACATAAAGTCCACATAAAAATTAAATACTTTACATTTCTTCAGTTAAGTAAACTTTATTTTGTATATTTGAAGTTATAGATGACATCATTTGACAATTATATAAACAGAGAAAATGGTCCCCACAGCAGCGCTGATTAACCTGTTACCCCATAGTTACTTCGTAATAAGAACAGCTCAAATCCTTCCTACAAATTACTCATCTGAGTCTGTGTTTACAGCTCCTACTTCCTCACCTTACATCTGCTTCTTTGTGCCCTTCGACTTGCAGCTGTTCAATCCTCCCCTGCTCTATTTTCAAAATTAAATCGTCAAGATCCAGTGCCTCTAAACTCAGAAAAGGTACAACGTGAGTCCATGAGAGCCAGTGGCTGCACACAGAACACAACAGATTGAGAGAGATATTCTTGGCTTTCAGTGAAACCCAGGCAAATCTACTGAAATTGAATGTGTGTGTGTGAGTGTGTGTGTGTGTGTATAATGTATGGATGTATGCGTGCAAATGTATGCATATATGTGTAATTATGCAAAGGAATGCACACCTATGCATACATGTGTTGAGATTAGCGGTTGATGTGAGTTGTCTTTCTCTATTGTTCTCTATTCTTTTCATTAATTATTTTCTGTATATGAATGTTTTTACTATGTTTCGATATGTGCACCACAGCCTTCTCTTCAGGAGCAGCAAATGCTCTTTAACCTCTGGGCCACTTCTCCAGCTTCTTCACCATACTTTTTGAAATAAGCTCTCTTACCAAATCTTAAGCTGAGCCTTTCAGCTAGACTGTCTGGCCAGCAAGCCCCTGGGATCTGCTTATCTCTGCCCTACAAAACTTAGGGTAACAGACTATACTAAGTTTTTATGTGGTGCTGGCAACTGGAATTCAGGTCCTCAAGCTTATGCAGCCAAGACTTTTATCCAGGGACATTTCTCCAGCTGCCAAAATAGAGCCAGCAGCCACTATTTCCTTCTAGAAATAATCCACCACTACCTCATTTTAGTAGAAATCGGTTGCAGCAAATATTACAGAGCAACATTCAGGGGCCTGCAGGACCTGCCCTTGCTCATTTTACCTCAACTTATCCTCAAGGTGACTTTACATGGTAAGAATGTCACAGGGCACTGAAGCTTACCCAAGGCTTGAAGAGGGTGGCAGGGTCTGCCTCCAGAGTCCATGCTTGTAGCAAGTCACTCTCAATTAAATCCGAACATCTCAAAATAAAATATACCTTTCATTTTTAATAACAACCACAAACTATCAAAATCAGTTCTCATGATAAAATAACAGCAATGGCAAATGGGAGTTACTTTATGCTTGAAAATTAAAAACAATTTGAAACATGAAAACCACAAGCAGGCCTGGAATCTAGTAGAGTGCAATGAGTTTGGCATTTGTTTTGGTGAGGGGGGAGGAGGAAGGGGAGGAGGAGGGAGGAAGTGAGGGAGGGAATGGAGGAGATCATATGAGATCTACAGAACACTTTGTCTCTGTCATCAGTCTCAAGGTCCATCACTTCCATCCTTCTCCAAGAAATCACAACTCTGTATCTATGCAGCTGTTTTACCAATAGCAGAGAGTTAAGGCAGAAAAAAAAATACATCTTTATTAATGCATGGGCAGAAATCACATGCAGTGAAGAAACTTAGATCCACAGGATGAATCGGCTAGCTCACCCACGACACTGCAGAACCTGCAGGCTAAGGCTGCACCAGAGTCACACACTGGGCCCCAGATCTGCAAGAAGACTCACCCAGCCTCCCACTTGTCTCATTCCTCCCATTCCCCATGGGCATGTTATACTTGTCACAGAGACCTCCCTGCCCAGATCTTGTCCCGCACTGAGATTTGACTCTTGAAGCTTCAGTTGCCTCACCTATGAACT